AGAAAAAAGGGGATGGTTAAAAATAAAAGGGGGGGGGGGGTTTATGGCTAAAAGGGGAATAATACATGGGATGTATAGCTTAAAAAAATTTCTTAAGAGCTTTTCACTATTAGTCTCTTAAATCTTTCATACTTATTAAGTCCGTTAAAGCTTTGAAAATTTTATTAGATTGCCAAAATTTAAAGTTATTTTGAAATTAGCCCCTCGAATCATTGAAAATGTTATTAGGTTCCCTAATTCTCTTAATCTTGTTTAAATGAATCTCTCTAGTTGTAGCTTCTACCCTTGAGTGGAGGGACTAACTTAAATTTTTTTAAAGAATCAAGGAACTTAATAGCAATTGTATTGATTTTGAGGGACTAATTTTTAAATAACTTATGAATTGCGGGATCTAATTGTAAATTTCATGATTTCTTAAATTTTACAAATATGAAAAATTTAAGGGACCAATATTGAAAAAACTTTTTTTTTGTAGGTGGGTTTCAAATGAAATTGGGTAAACTTTGGGTTTATTAGTAAAATAATAATTTGAAAAAGAATTTTTTTAAGGTAGGTAGGTGTGAAAATCATTGAAATTGCTATGAGTTGCAAAATTCTATAGTTAGTCCCTCAAATCACTGAAAATGTAATTCTTGTAATCTTTTTCAAATTAATGTCTCTAGTTGTTTTTTCTACCCCTTATAAGAGGGAATAATTTCAAAATAACTTAACAATTAATTGGCCTAGTAGAAATTTTAGGATCTAAAAGGGACTGATTTCTAAATAAATTAACAATTGCGGGACCTAATAGTACTTTTTCATGTTTTTGAGGGATTAGATTAAAATATGATAAAGGACTAATAATAAAAGAAATAAATGAATTAAAACCATAAACGAATATTTTTTAATCAAGCGAATTGAATACGCCTTTCGTTAAATTCTATTCATTTATTGAGTACTAAAGCATATTTGTTTATTGTTAAATAAACTATTGAATCGAATATGATCAAGTAGCTGGACGAATAATAACCGAAGTGTTTGTTTATTATTTGATTCACTTCCACCCCTGGTTATAGCTTATGAAAATCGTAAATTTTGAAGCGTCCTTAGTTTATTGATATTGAGTTGAAAAGAACCAAAATGGACAAAAGTAGTTGGTTAGTCATGAAATTTGAAGAATTTGGAAGTATGAATACTTAAATGTCATGGGCTGGAAATGAACGAAAATGAAAAGAATAATGGTTTATGGACAATGAAAAAATTCGCTTCATTGTCACCATATGAAAGTAAAAAAAAAGGACTATAATCACAAGTAGTTTGTAAAATCGTGAATTTTGAAGTACTCACAATAATTACAACTGAGTTAAAATGAACAAAAATGAATAAAACCATATGTTATGGCTAATGAAAATTGTGAATTTTGAAGTAAACATAATTGATTGTGATTGAACAGAAACGACTAAAAATGGACAAAAATTGTGGGTTATAGGCTATAAATTTTGAAATAGGCGTACTTAATTCCCACTTGGTCCAAAAGAACAATAATAAACAAAAATCATGGATTATAACGAATAAAAATCACAAATTTTGAAGTGTCCTTGACCTTGAGTTGAAAAGAACAAAAATGGAGAAAAATAGTTGGTTATTGCTCATGAAAATTGTGAAATTTTAAAGCATGAATATTCAATTCCTAAGGATTGAAACGATAAAAATGAAAAATAGTGGATTATAGCCTATGAAGTCACGAATTTTGAAATATGTGTATTTAGTTGTCATTGGATTGCAGAAACAAAAATGGATTAAAATGACGGGTTATAGCTATTGATGTTAGATATCAAATATGAAAGTTTAGTGTGGATTATGGAGAGTTTTAGGGTTCCCTGATCTCTTTTGATGGTTGATCCCCTGATAGAAAGAAAGTCCTGTACACATGCAACACGTTAGAGGATTAGAGTTGGGTTCTCCAGTGGTTCCTCTGACGATTAAGTTAGGTATGATTTGAAGGGGAGAAAAGAACTGATATAGTTTTCTAAGTATGCAGAAATTGCGTACCTTTAGTTGGTAGGTGACGTGCCTGTTTATACCGAGCTAACAAGGGTATTTCTGTAACTTCGGTCGAGTCTAAACAATCAGCTTATTCGGCTGATACTTTACAGGTGTTGCTTGTGGGTCGTCTGAGTCACTTTTGTGATTTATGCGATGGTGATAGGGGAAGTAAGGTGCTGACGAAGTCCGATGAGTTATTAAGACTTTCAGGGTGGATGTAATAATGACTCCGACTATGTATTTAATGTGATGGTGATTGGCCGTCGGCGAGGGGTTCGAGAATGACTGCCTTCTGTTTCGGCTTTGCGAGAGGATCGATAAAGAACGTCTTTCGTCTCAACTCTTGAGGGAGACGTGACGGGACGCTTTTCGTCTCGACCTTCGAGGGAGACAAGAAGGGATGCCTTTCGTCTCGACCTTCAATGCAGATGAAAAGTCGTGTCTGAGTCGAGTCGGTGTGTAGTCTGTTTGAGACACGTCAGCCAGTTGAATGTGATTAACACTTGTTTTATTTCTATGACACAACAATAGCCCATTAAAATTGTGAATTTTTAAGATTCATAGTTAAGTGACTGTAATTAATTGTCATTAAGTCGAAAAGAAAAAAATTGACAAAAATAGTTAGTTATAGCTGTTAAAAATTATAAAATGTTAAAGTATAAATACTTATTACCATGATATCGAAATGAATGAAAATGAACAAAAGTAATGGGTTATAGGCTTATAGGCTATGAAATTGCAAATTTTGAAATATGCATACTTAATTGTAATTGTACCAAAAGAAATGAAATTGGCTATAATATGAAGTTACAACCTATGAAGATCGTGAATTTTGAACCCATCATACTTAATTGTCATTTGGTAGAAATGAACAAAAATCATGAGTTATAACTTATGAAAATCGTGAGTCTTGTAAGGATAGTTTAGTGTGTCTAGGAAGAAATGAGTAGAAATGGACAATAATCGTGGGTAGCCCATGAAAATCGCGAATTTTGAAATAGGCTAGTTAATTGTCATTGTGTTGAAAAGAACGAGGATAAAGAAAAATCATGGGTTATAGCTCATGAAAATCGCAAATTTTGAAATGTCCCTAACTAATTAATTAGCATTGAGTTGTAAAGAATAATCATGGATAAAAATAGTTGGTTAGTTTATTAAAATCGCAAAATTTTAAATATGAATTCTTCATTGCTATGTGATGAAAATGAAGTAAAATTAACAAAAATAGTGCCTTATAGCCCATGAAATTGCGAAATTTAAAAATATGCATACTTAATTGTGGTTGGACTGAAAAGAACGAAAATGGAATTAAATCGCGAGGCCTATGGAAATTTGTGAATTCTGAAAGGCTTATACTTAATTGCGACTGGGTAAATAATTATCGAAAATGAACAAATATTATGGGTTATAGCTCATGAAAATCGCAAATTTTGAAATGTCCCTAACTAATTAATTAGCATTGAGTTGTAAAGAATAATCATGGATAAAAATAGTTGGTTAGTTTATTAAAATCGCAAAATTTTAAATATGAATTCTTCATTGCTATGTGATGAAAATGAAGTAAAATTAACAAAAATAGTGCCTTATAGCCCATGAAATTGCGAAATTTAAAAATATGCATACTTAATTGTGGTTGGACTGAAAAGAACGAAAATGGAGTTAAATCGCGAGGCCTATGGAAATTTGTGAATTCTGAAAGGCTTATACTTAATTGCGACTGGGTAAATAATTATCGAAAATGAACAAATATTATGGGTTATAGCTCATGCAAATCGTGAGTTTTAAAGTAACCATAACTAGTTGTATTTGGATAGAAACGAATGGGAATGAGCAAAAATTGTGGGTTATAGTCTTTGGAACACGAATTTTCAAGAAAGTAGGGTAGAAATGGATGAGAATGAACAAAAATCATGGGTGCCTATGAAAAATTGCAAATTTTAAAGTTGCCTTAATTGCCATCGAGTTGAAAGGAAAAATGGCTAAATTACAAAATTGATATTTTTGGTAACACCCCTTCACTAGTTTGGTATTTTTAGTTTCTACGTCGACTTTTTGGTGTTACAAGAAAATATCAATTTGTTAATTTAGCTTAGCAAAAATAGTTGTTTATAGCTAATGAAATTGCTATTTTTTGAAGTATGAATACTTAATTCACATGGGATTGAAATGAACGAAAATGATCAAAAATAGTTTGGCTATAGGCCATTAAATAGCGAATTTTGAAATATGCACACTTAATTATCATTGGATCGAAAGGAATGAAAATGGATTGAAGTCGCGTGCTATCGCTTATGAAAATCGTGAATTTGAAAAGCTGATACTTAATTGCCATCAGTAAGAAATAAATAAAAATGAAAAAAAATTATTTATAGCGCCTGAAAATTGTGAATTTTGAAGAAAGCATAATTAGTTGTGACTGAGTAGAAACAAATGGACAATAATCAGTTATAGTCCATGGAGATCGGGAATTTTAAAATAGGTGTACTTAATTGCCCCTAGGTCAAAAAGAACAAAAATAAACAAAAATCAATAGCCAATAAAAATCGCAACTTTTGAAGTGCCCTTAATTGACATTTGAGTCTAAAAGAGCAAAAATGGGCAAAAATAGTTGGTTATAACTAATGAAAATTGTGAAATTTTGAAATATGAATATTTAATTGTTATAGGATCAAAACGAGCAAAATTGAATGAAAATAGTAGGGTTACAGCCCATGAAATCGCAAATTTGAAGTAAGTATATTTAATTATCATTGGATAAAAATGACAATTAAGTAGACATGCATTCTTTTTGCTGAATATGTCCTAATCAGTTTTGATGCATATGTAATCGTTTTAGCAAGAATTATGTCATTAGAGCATAATTTACTCATTTTTTAGCATTTCAGTAATGGCTGCCTCATGGCTGGAGGAGCTATTGCCCTGTTCTGTTTCCTCACAAATGATACCGGTCTACATTTCGATGTTAAAATATGTAGGGCACTCAAGGAAGAGAAATATGCTGCTCGAAGGGCAATACTTCCCTTGCTTCAAGCTGAAGAAGATGAAAGGTGAAAAACCCTAAAAATTTCCATATTTGCTTTGCTTATTGTTCCTTAGCATTACTGTTACCTTGTCGATGTTTCCTATAGATTTGTTAAAGAATGGAAGAAATACTTGGAAGAAGAGGCAAGAATCATGAAAGATGTCCCAGGATGGAAGGTCGGCGAGAGCGTCTACCACTCCGGGAGGTGGACCCCACCGGCGACCGGTGAACTTCGGCCCGATGTTTGGTGAGAGAGAAAGTGTTCGTCTGATCAAACTGTTGTTCTTGTGCTTCTTCACGCAGCTTTGTCTAAAATTGCTGCATGTGTCAACCTTTTGCACCTCTCAGCTTAATAAATCTCTCTCTTGAGACCTTGAATCGATATGTTGCTTATTCGTGGAAGCAAATGGAACAGTGCTTTGCTGCTTCTGAAGTACTTGTGGGTATAACGCTCCACTTCTGCATCTTTTGTTTTTTCGTTACTGATGAGCTGAGTAGGGGTGGTAAACGATCGAATCGAATCGAATACTAAAGTGTTCGTATTTGTATTTGTTTAAAATTATCGAATTCGAATGCATACTCTAATATTCATATATCTAATTTTTCGAATTCGAACTCGAATACTTGGTATTTGATAAATATTCATGAATATTCACGAATACTTATCGAATATCAAAGTATATTTATTCTGCTAAAGAATTTGATTTTCAAATAGTATTAAAATTCATAAATAAAAATTATTCCTTTATAATATATGATGTATATATATTTAAATCAAGATTTTAATTAGAAAATAGATTTAAGATTATTTGAATCTTAAAATTAATGTATAAAACTTAAGTAGAAATGATAAGTGGGTTAAAAATATAACATCATATGTGCAATAATACAAATAATTAGTTGTGATCAAATTTTAAACGAATATTTAATAAACAAACGAATCGGATATGCATCTGGTTAAATTCTATTCGTTAGTAAACTCGAATACTAAAAAATATTTGTTTAGCGGTAAATGAACTACCGAATCGAATATGACTAAATAGTTATTCGAACAATTATCGATCTATTTGTTAATTATTTGGTTCATTTCCACCCCTAGAGCTGAGTCTACATTATCGAAACCGTGTGGCATGCCGCTGAATATAGGCCTGCTTTCAGGTATTTGGGCCTTTCTAAAGTTGGCTACGGCTGATGCAATTACTATTGGATTTGTTCTTTTTTCTTGGAAGTTTGGTCTGGTGCCAATTCCTTGCTAATTCTGCTTTAATCGTTGTGTTAGGCCCTTATTAATTATGAGATCATGTGACATGAAGAAAAAGCTATCACGTGTGGGTCCCGTTCCCTCCAAGTTGAGGTGCCAGCCTGCATGTTGTGAGGTCCCATGGCATTAAAGGGCCAAGGATAATGTGCTTTCTGCATAAAAAAAAAAAAATCTGCCCAGAACCGGAAAGTTGTCACGTAAAATCTTCCGGTTCTGAATTTAGGACTTAGGCTCTGTTTGGCAAAACTAGTTGAAAGCTGCGAGATTATAGCTGAAAGCTGTGAAATTGTAGCTAAAAGCTGATAGCTGTGTAGCTAGCTAATTGACTAGAGCTGTTTGGCAAAAGAAGCTGTACAACTAGTTTAAATTTGTTAAATGACTAAAAAGGTCATGCAATATTATTGATATAAAATTAGAATTATTAGGGGCAAAAAACGGAAGAAAAAAATTGATAGCTCCTTCCCAAAGACAAACGCTACTTGAGATAGCTTTCCAAAAGCTACTTGCAAAAGACGCATTCTTCAAAATAATCTCCTCCTATTTTTTGTCACCAAACAACTCTACTAGCTTATTGATCAAGTCAATAAGACACAAGCTCTTAGATAAGGTACTTTTTTTGGTTGCCAAACAGTGCCTTAGCGGCAAACACAAAGATTAGCATTCATCAAGCATGGTAAAATGATATCTTTATAGAATTCTCTCTCTTACTTTCGTCCGTTCTACCAAAAATCTCGTTAAATTTTCTATTGTATTTCTGGTATAGTCCGTGAGTGCGCATGGGCCCGTCAAAGAGTAGCAAATCGGAATTTTCACACTTGCCACCTCAGCTTATAAATAATACGAAACAATGACGATGGCTTTATCTTGCCGACACAATTCAAATGGCTAAGTCATCAAATTGCTCTTTTCTTTTTTAACAACCTTCTTACCAATTTGGTATTTTCTAGCTCCCACATGTATGTATAGGTCTTTTCTCTGAGCTTAATATGCAATTATACCCAAAAATTTGCTTTTGGCGAAAAATACCTGTGATTCACGGGACGCTATTAGTGTTATCTTATTTATGAGGAAAACGTCACAAGACTATATGGTGCAGTGGTACGTCCATGCTTATGTGAGAATATTGAATCCACTACAAGTAATTAAATTTAGGATAAAGAAGAGGAGAGCATATGATATTACCTCTATGTATAGTGTTGCGAAAGCTTGGTGGCTAGGCCAAAAACTGATAAGAGGTAAGAGATTTCGCGGCTTTTTACCACCGGTGGTAAAATTGTGGGACTAATTACACATTCGGCTCAGAAAATATCAAAACATTGCCAGAGTTAAAAAAAAAAATACCAAACTGGTATGAGGGGTGCGAAAAATGCTAATCTGGTAATTTAGTACAATTCAAATCCATGATAACCATTAATCAAACAATTAAAATATGAACTTAGGAAAATTAAATCATAATATAGATTGGGAACTGCAAATTAATTTGACCCACTTAGCTAATCACACTTTAGTTACTTTTATTAAATCAAACTCAACCAATAAATGCCCTCCCAATGTCATAATTAGATCTACTCTCTCTCATCTAATCCCTCAATAAAAACTCCCTCTCTCTCTCTCTCTCTGAGATCTCCACTCACTCCCATTCTCTCCTATTCCTGCTCCTCTCTCTCTCTCTCTCCCTCTCTCCATTTTTTTATTATCTGTTATATATGTTCTTTTATTGGGTAAATCTCCAATCTTCTCTCCGCTTCAGATCAAATCCAGATCCGACCCATCTCCCAATAGTAAGTTTCTCCACACCCAAACCCATCAAAATCTCATCTTGATGCCCGGAGTTCATTAGATTCTTTTTTGGGGTTTTATTGGATTTGGCTCTTATAATGCCATCGTTTTGAATTTTTTTGGTAATTTTAATTGCCATCGACGGTGTTTCCTCATCTCCACCAATCTGTCTCTTTTTAGACAGTTAATTTTTTGCCTTATTGTTCGTCAGTTAGTTGGAAGTAGACTTTATATTTGCTGTTACTGGAAATACTTGTACTTCATCTGCAAACATATATAATGGGTAAAGGATTTAATGTAATTCTATCACACTCTCTTCATATTCCGCTGCCATTTTTGAGGTATATGATTGATGGGTATTTTTTATTTGCGAGCTTTAATCTATATATTGATCTGGGTTCAACGTCATATCCAAAATTTTATGGCTTCTTATCCGTTTGATTGTTGTAGTTGATTACTGACGGTTGATGGGTTTGCCATTTTATTGCAGGAATTGGGTGGTTTATGTTTGATTTAATCAGATCTAAGGCAATATAGCTTTTATTATTCAGCAAGTTTATCTGTGAAGGGTTTTTATAGGATTCTTTGGATGTGGTTGTAGTGAAAAATATATTTGAATTTGGGTGTTTTCCACAAAGATGAGGGGGAGAGATGGAGGCCAAAAGAGGAACTTGGTACCTTGGATTTGTGCTGGTGTGCTCTTTGTAGTTTTTCTATTCTTCTATTATGGCTCTTTCTTCGACCCTCAGGGTCAGCATGCTAGTTCTGCTTTAGAGTATGGTACTAGATTCTCTAGATCTCTTGGTTTTAGTAGTGAGGATGATGGAGAGGTTACACAGTCTAATGAGTCGATTTTCGCTGAAGAGGGGGATGACGTTGCTCTCAAGAGCATTCCAGTGAGAACTCTTTCGAACTTAGCTCATTCTGTTGGTATTTTGGTAAATTTCAGTACTCTAACTAGTTATTACTTCTACGAAGGTTTGCGATGATCGTCACTCAGAGTTGATCCCGTGCCTTGATAGACATTTAATCTATCAGTTGAGATTGAAGCTAGATTTGTCTTTGATGGAGCATTATGAGAGACACTGCCCTCCAGTTGAGAGACGTTACAATTGCTTGATCCCTCCACCACCTGGCTACAAGGTGAGATATATTAGGAGATCTCTTATTGTAATACCCGTTTCTTCTTTCTTTGCCATTATTGAATGTTTCTAGTTTTGTCTTGCAGGTCCCTATAAAGTGGCCAAAAAGCCGAGATGAAGTGTGGCAGGCTAACATACCACATACTCACCTTGCACATGAGAAGTCTGATCAAAACTGGATGGTTGTGAAAGGTGACAAAATTGAATTTCCTGGCGGTGGTACTCATTTTCACTACGGAGCTGATAAATATATAGCTTCACTTGCAAATGTAAGTTCAATTCAGAAACAATACATAAGGCATCCTAAGTTTAGGAAGCATTATGTACCTTCACGTTCATATTCATCTTCAACTTCCATGAAGCATTAATCAGTATTTTTTTGCTGATTCGTTATTCATTTCATGGCCTTTTGCTCATGCTTCAAAGTTTGCATTGGATTGATTATCTGTAATTTTTGGGGCTGGCTGCACGAATATTATTCTTTCATTCAGTTCTGTTTAAGGGCCATCCTCCACTGAATTAAATATATCATATCTTGCTTAATTGCTCCCAACCCACTTCTCTTTGGCCTACCTGTAGTCCTGTTTGCTTCATTAACTATGATCTTATCACTTCTGCTGAATGGTGCACTTAATGACCTCTGTTGTACATGACCAACCCATTTCAATCGGTTCTTTCTCATTTTATCCTCAATAGGAAAATCTCTAATATCATAAGAATGCCCTCGTTTCTTTTCCTATCTCTTAGTATATATTCACAAACAATCATAATGTTCTCGTTTATGCTACACTCATTTTTTGTTAGCAGTGGATTGAGTACTAGAAGAGACTGAGTACTAGAAGAGCTAATTCATTCCTTTTTTGGATTCACAGATGTTAAACTTTTCAAACAACAATTTAAACAATGAGGGAAATCTCCGGACTGTTTTTGATGTCGGGTGTGGGGTTGCAAGTTTTGGAGGATACCTTCTTTCATCTGATATCTTAGCAATGTCATTAGCACCCAATGATGTTCATCAGAACCAGATTCAGTTTGCTTTGGAGAGAGGAATCCCTGCTTATCTCGGTGTCTTGGGGACCAAGAGGCTTCCATACCCTAGTAGATCCTTTGAACTTGCCCATTGTTCTCGTTGTAGGATTGATTGGCTTCAAAGAGATGGAATTCTCTTGCTTGAATTAGATAGAGTGCTTAGGCCAGGAGGCTACTTTGCTTATTCGTCTCCTGAAGCTTATGCACAAGATGAAGAAGATCTTAGGATTTGGAGAGAAATGAGCGCCCTCGTTGAACGAATGTGCTGGAAAATTGCAGCCAAGAGAAATCAAACCGTTATTTGGGTTAAACCTTTGACAAATGACTGTTATCATAATAGAGAGCCTGGTACTCAGCCACCATTGTGTAGATCTGATGATGATCCAGATGCAGTATGGGGTGTCCCAATGCAAGCGTGTATTACTCCGTACTCTGAACGTAAGTATTCTATCTCCCTGCAAATCTTGTCTTATCTGCTAATACCCAATGGCAATAAACAGCATGCTTTCATCTCTGAATAATTATCTAACACTTCGGGTAAATACTTTGTTCTTGGTATCTGATAGTTGAATATTCTCCATGATCATGATTGTTTTGCCATACAATGAGCTCACCCTTAGTCTGCTCTTCTAGGTTCCTTACAAAGAAATTAACTAATTGCAAAAGGACTATCTTGTTTGTAGTTTATGTTGAATGCTCAACTGCTGCGTGAAAAGAAACCTATAAAATACACCCATATAAACCTTAGTAAAGCATGCAATAGTCAGGCCCATAAATGTTATTTAAATCAATATGTGAGTATCTACCTGAATCCATAATCACTCTTACATCTGTTAAAACTAACAATTTCTCTCTTTTTGTCATTATTTAACTAAATTCTTAATCCTGTAAAATTTCAATAGTACTAGTCACAGGACAGCAGAACAGTATAGATATTCTTGTCCATTAGTAGGTGGAATGTCTGAAGTACTGAATTTATCACGCGAGAGGAGGAGACCAGAATATTTATTTTCAATATGGAGGGAACATTCCTGCATTGAATGAAGATTAAGATGTAAAAGTCTTGTAATGGAGTATTGCATAGTTTTTTTATGTATATTTTATCATTAACAGTTAAGGTTTTATTAACCAAAAAATGGTCAAATCTTTCAGAGAACCACAGAGATCAGGGCAGTGGATTGGCTCCATGGCCAGCTCGTCTAGCTAGCCCTCCTCCTCGTCTCGCAGATATTGATTATACAGCTAACATGTTTAAAAAGGACATGGTACTATACAACTTCTCATTGGTGCATTTCGTTGATGTAAGGAATCTGGCTCTGATTATATCTTGTATCCTGCAGGAAATTTGGCAGCAGAGAGTTGAGAATTACTGGAAGCTGCTGGGTCGCAAAATCAAACCAAACACTATAAGGAACATAATGGACATGAAGGCAAACCTAGGATCATTTGCAGCGGCTCTCAGGGACAAGGATGTGTGGGTGATGAATGTCGTGCCAGAAGATGGACTAAACACTCTTAAGATTGTTTATGACAGAGGCTTAATTGGCAGTATACATGACTGGTAAGCTTTCATCATGGAATTTCATTATGCTGAATTTTAATATCCTTGTCGGTTGATGATTATTTATTTGTCTGATTGTGAACGTCACATAATTTTAGTGTTGAACCATGTCAGATTGTGAGAGAGAATTTTTATTTCATTTAGTTAATATTTGCATGCCTATGATGTTAAGTAAATGTTGAATGATTAGTTTCAAAATTGGTAATTCAAAACCACAGGAACTGCATTTGAGAATTTTCTAACCCGCACTTAATAAAATCACATACATCACTAGCACCTGCTAGATATATTCAGTCCAACATTAATAAGGATGTCATGAACTATTTCTAAAGGATAATTACATTACCTAGTGTAACTACAGGAGTGGTCTTGGTATCTGTGTATCTACACGGGTAACCCTGAGATTACTGATTGTATCTGCATGGGTAACCTTGTATATATGCAAACTCTAGGGTCACCGGTGTAATTACACCATTCCTCAGGGTACTTAGATGTGATTAATCCATTTCTAAATGATGAGATATTATGCATTCGGGCATATGCTTCTTGTTCATCTTGCCCGTTGCAGAGTAGAGCTTGGGAGCCAATGAAGCACATCCCAGGGGTTCGTCAAATGATATTTTTTGTTGTTAAATAACTCTTCAGCTCAGTAAATCTGAGAGCCCCAGTAAAAAATTTTCCCTTTTACACACATTAATGTCGCTAACTATTTAACATAGAAGACCCTTTTTTTGGATTTTAACCATTTCTAGTCAATAATGATTACGTTAACATGCAAAATTTATGTATCTGCAGCCTTTATGTTTTGCTGCCCAAAATTTCTATCCTTCCATTTTAATGGAAAAAGTTTATTTCCTGACCATCTATAGCAGTATAACTTTGTCTCAGCAATAGTTAGCTCCATGTCAATATACCAAGGTGCTCGTTTTATAGCAAGAAAGCTTCTTATCATGATCCTTTGGATGCTAAACATAATTTTGCTATATATTATCACACTAGGCTTTTTGCTTGATGTATCTTTTTATTGTTTGTCAAGTCAAATGTGCTTTGCTAATAGACCCCCTGAGCGAGTGATTTTTTTGATTCGTTTACCCTCAGATAAAGAGAAATTTGTTTATTTTTTATTTTTATTTTTGGTGACAAATAGACCTCCTGATTGTAAAATAATAAATAAATAAATAAATAAAATAATGTAGGGATTCTATCCACAACATAGATTTACAAAGGGTCTATCCACAATTAACCCTGTATTCTATTATTTAACCTCAATGTTCATTTCTATTTGACAGGTGTGAGGCATACTCAACATACCCAAGAACATACGATCTCCTCCATGCCTGGACTGTATTTTCTGGTATCGAGAAGAAAGGATGCAGCGCTGAGGACCTGCTTCTCGAGATGGACCGGATTCTCAGGCCAACTGGTTTCATAATCGTTCGTGACTCAAAATTGATCATCGAGTTCATCAAGAAACATTTGAATGCACTTCATTGGGAGGAGGTAGCTCTAGTTGATGCAGAACCAAACTCAGATCCTCAAGATGGAGATGCTATCCTTGTGATTCAAAAGAAGATGTGGCTTGTTGATGATATACTCAAGGATTCAGCTTGAGTTGGGTTTTTTTCGGTCGAGGTGATCCTAAAGGATTCAGGAAAAGTTAAATTGTTAGATTATATTTTTAATTTCTAAATGTGTTTAGGTGATTCTTATACCGTAAGGCATAAACATTTATTTTGTATTTGATTTTTTTTCTTCCTTTAGTTTGTTTACAGATGCTTGTTGCGAACATTATTAGATATGAGCAATAAGTTAAGGTAATGTGTTGATCAGTTATGAAGTGTATTTTGTATTTGAAATACGTACACGTTTGAGATGTTGTATACAGTAAGGTAATGTGTTGATCAGTTATGATTTGTATTTTGTATTTTAAAATACATTCATGTCTGAGATGTTGTATACAGTGTATTTAATAAAAACTGAGTTTGCGTTTGTATCATATAGTGCTGATTTTAACTAAATGGCCTTAGTTTAACTTCCATATCTACTCAACTGTTAGCATTTGTTAAACGCTAATATAGTATTCATACCTGTAAAGTGTAGGGTCCTGATTTTGCTTATGTATACCAAGTGTACGATCGTGACCCTTAAGAATAGAGTGCGCTCTTATAAAAATCTGCGGAAGCTTTACACTTAAACACTAGAGGGTGAGTTTGCAAAGTAGATTATAAATTACAAAGAAAGAATGGCAATCTTAGAAAATAAACATCACAAACACAAGCATGTATACTGGTTCCACCTCTCCGGTGTACATCCAGTCCCCAAGCAAATCCCGCTTGAGAGTTTTCACTATGATTTTGAAACCTTACAAAATCAAAAGCAAACCTGACCAATTTGTAAGACCATGCAAATTACAACACCAATTGACAAGACCATGCCAATTGTCACCCAATCTCTAAACCAAGAGATCAACCCTCTCAAACCCGAGAGAAATCCTTTTTGAAGCAAGAACACAATTGATCCTATAAGCCTTGAATGTGTAGTGAAGTGCTGCAGTGGCTTAGGATTCTTTTAACTCTCTGAATATTACCTATACAATCTCTAAGAATGATTGAAACCAAGGCAATATCAGAAACTCTCTTTTTCTAAACACTTAGCATGAAAATCTGGAAAATTAGAGAGTGAATATGCACAAAATGTTTGATCTTGCAAGTGCAAAATTTGGTTGTTGTTTTTTGATGTTTAAACCTATTTATAGCCTCTGAAATGACATAATTTTAAACCCAATTAACGTCCACAAAACGGCTATAAACAGTCACTTATTTAAAACCTAAAATTTGGAAAAACTGCATCTGTAGTCGACTACAAGTCATAATAGTCGACTACACTAAGTCTAAACAGACTCTGTGAAGTTAAAAAATTGCTTAGTAGTCGACTATAAGGCATAGTAATCGACTACACTGTAAACTCAGATTTTGGAATTTTTCTTTTCAGTATTTTGACAGTAACTTTCTCATCCGATATCAGAATAAGGTGATTTAAGATTTGTTGAAAAGCTCTTGAAGAGACCTACAACTTTTATCTTTTGAGTTTTTCCAGATTCTAATTGATAAGGGGTATAAATAAAATGTTTTAAGACTCACTCAATATCTATAAACTCTAATGGCTAACATAGGGGATTTCTATTGTTAACCAACACACTAAGCATATGTTAGTGTGTTCTAACACTATGTATGTGCATGTGTGTGAGTGATCAATGCTTGTATAAATTTCTAAGCAAAGAAAATATAAAATTATATTTTGACAATAAAATATATCTTCTTCTTTGCTTTATTTTGCATTGAACTCATCTATGTCTTGAGTATCTCTTTGAATATAATTGTTGATATAGCTCTGATACTGCAAAATAAATGTTAGCACATAATACACACAACATATAATATTTGTTATCATAAAAAAAACTAATCTTGGGGTCAAGATTCCTTACATTCTCCCCCTTTTTGATGATGACAAATATATGTTATTAAGATATAAAAATTTTAACCCCCTGCATAAAATCATTAAATAAAATCTTTTACTCCCCCTGCATCAAAGCATTAGTAAAAAATTTAAAATTTTCTATATAACTCCCCCTTTGTCATTAACAAAAAGAAATAAACATAATTCTAGTTAAAATTTTCTCTTCCCGGGTACCTTAATAAAAATTTTAAGCACTTTGGTACCCTTTTATATTATATCATTAGGATTAGCCCTTAGGAATCCAAATCCACTTGGAATTTGGTTTCCATTTATTAACATAAGTGTAATTCTTTGAATTGCAAACTTCATAAATATAAGATGAAATATAATAATTCCTATCATGAATATTCAAATTCTTAGGAATCCATATATACTTATTTTGTTTAGCATGAATATTCTTATTATTATTCTTCAAAACATAATCATTCTTTGTAAAATACTTAGGAACAAATCCAATGCCAAAATGATTGTTTGAAGATTTTTGAAATGAGAGCAAATTATTCAAATTCTCTTTACTTTTATTGAATTTACTAACATTCAAACATATATCATCATATTTTAATTTAATAGAAGAAATATCTTTATCTAAAACATTAATGCGAATTTTTAAATCATTGCATTCTGATTTTAGATAAACATTCTCATTAGTCAAAATATGATTTTCTTTAAGCAAGGATTTATTTTCCTCTTTCAATTCAATTACTTGAGAATTAGAAATAGTAGAAGAATTAAAATCAGAAATTTCTTCAAGTAATCTTTTATTTTCACCTTTAAGAAAATTATGTGAAGCCTTTAATCTCAAAAATGTTTCATATAATTCATTGAAAGCATCTAATAATTCTTCATAAATTATTGTTAGTATCTTTAACATTACTTGTACCTTCATAAGTTACCTCGAGTGTGTGCCAAATATCATATGCGGATGTGGCCGTTGACACCCTATTGAACTCATTCTTGTCAAGAGCACAAAATAAGACATTCATTGCTTTAGAATCCAAGTTTGCATTGTTCCTTTGAGATGTAGTCCATTCCGTGAAAGGAGTGGTTGGCATCTCATATTTTGTTTCCACAATGCTCCAAAGTTCATAGCCAATTGATTAAAGGTTAATCTTCATTCGGCACTTCTAATAATTATAGTTCAATCCATCGAATATTGGTGGACGATTTGTAGAATGACCTTCTTTGAATTGTGATGTATTTGTTGATGCCATCTTTTACCTTGCTCTGATACCAAATGTAGGGTCCTGATTTTGCTTATGTATACCAAGTGTAGGATCGTGACCCTTAAGAATAGAGTGCGCTCTTATAAAAATATGCGGAAGCTTTACACTTAAACACTAGAGGGTGAGTTTGCAAAGTAGATTATAAATTGCAAAGAAAGAATGGCAATCTTAGAAAATAAACATCACAAACACAAGCTTGTATACTGGTTCCACCTCCCCGGTATACATCCAATCCCCAAGCAAATCCCGCTTGAGAGTTTCCACTATGATTTTGAAACCTTACAAAATCGAAAGCAAACCTGACCAATTTGCAAGACCATGTAAATTGTAACACCAATTGATAAGACCATGCCAATTGCCACCCAATCTCTAAACCAAGAGATCAACCCTCTCAAACCCGAGAGAAATCCTTTTTGAAGCAAGAACACAATTGATCTCATAAGCCTTGAATGTGTAGTGAAGTGCTGCAGTGGCTTAGGATTCTTTTAACTCTCTGAATATTACCTATACAATCTCTAAGAATGATTGAAACCAATGCAATATCAGAAACTCTCTTTTTCTAAAACACTTAGCATGAAAATCTAGAAAATTAGAGAGTGAATATGCACAAAATATTTGATCTTGCAAGTGCAAAACTTGGTTGTTATTTTTTGATGTTTAAACCTATTTATAGCCTCTGAAATGACATAATTTTAAACCCAATTAACTGTTAGACCCTAGGGGGGGTGATTAGGGTCTTATGCTAATCTAATCCGATTTTATGCCAATTAAAATTAATTAATAAGTTATCCTAGCAAGTATGAAATACCACAAGAATATAAGCTAGGATAAGCAATATGAACAATGAGATATATCCTATATGATAGAGATATATGCAAGGATATATAAACAACACAATGGTAAATAGTCTAAACTAGATAGTGGATCATATAGATAATGAGCTATAGCCAACGGAGATATAAGATATGAACATAAATATAAATGAACGCCAAAGCACACTCAAACAAGCAATATGATCACGGAGTTCGGACCTTCCGTCCTACGTCTCCGCTCCCCACTCCCGGGGAGAAATCCACTAACACAATCCGGTTTGGAAGCCAAAACTTCTTCTACACACTCGGTTTTCTAGCTAACCGAAAACTCTACAACTCACACTCTTGCAATCACACTCTACACCCACTAAGTGTTGGACCTAGCCGTGTCTCCCTCAAGTGCTCGGTTACAACCTCTCCCTAGGCACGTCAACCGACGCCACTCCTCTTGGGACGATCCCCGACTCTCACCACACACTCCTCACTCGGTGTACAAGTGTATTACAAAGTGATTCTCACAATAAGCACAAATATAACAAATGATTGTTCTCAAAACAAGGTGAGAACTCAATTAAGCACAACTCTTAGTCACAAACCCACAACCCCAAATTATACTATGAATGTAAATACAATAAGCTCAAAAGGTTGTGTGTGAACAAAGAGATATAAATCAAAAACTAAACTCAATGTAGTTCTAGCTAAATAACAATGATAATCAAATATATAAAATAGCTAGAAATAGAGTTTTGAAAACTTCTCAATATATCAAGAGTGGAGGGAGAAGAGTTGGATGCTCAAACACCAATAGATGATCTCCTCAAGCTCTTGTTGAATTGAATCACAAAACCGAAACACTCAAATGCTTAAAAGCTTCTTAAAACAAACTTAAACAAACACTAAACAAGTTTAAACCCTTGTTAAAACCTTTTAAACCATTCTCTTTTCTTCTAGAATTGAATGCAATGAGGGTATATATAGGAAGAGGAAATATCAGCAAAAACCCTAAAACAAATGACAGAAAAGTCCCCAGAAGACAGCTCAGAAAAATAGCTGTTAGTGTCTAACGGATCTATTGGCGGTTGACCGACAGAATGTTCGGTCGACCGAAAGAAAGAATTTGGTCGACCGACGGAAAATCCGGTCGACCGCGTGCAGGTCTGAAAAACAAAGAAACAAGCAGAGACTTCGTCGGTCGACCGGTGCGGTCGACCGATGGAGCTAAATCCGGTCGACCGCGAGCAGGTCTGAAAAACAAAAAAAAACAAGCAGAGACTTCGTTGGTCGACCGGTGCGGTCGACCGATAAAAAAATCGAGGTTTCGGTAGACCGCACCGGTCTACCGACAAACTCTCTGGAGCCCAGTGACGACTGAAAATATGAACGGTCGACCGGA